GCTGTCGCCGTCGCTGTCGCTGTCGCTGGTGCGGGTGCAGTTGGTGTTCTTCGTCTTGTTGTCGTGCCTTTCAAGTAGTAGTAATGGCATTGCTGAAAGTGGTGCTACAAAACCGAAAACCCAAGTACAAACCTAGCGTGACACAAGAGGTACTGCCGCTAAGAATACTACTGGGCTACAGTAATAAATACGCTTCGTGATCATATTTTTGCCTCCACCATCTTCCGCCAGAGCCATCCTCATTTATGTCATACTCACCAACCTCTGCGCAACCTCCACATCCTCCTCACGATCACCATGCTCATCCTCGTGATGACAGATACCATCGACGAAGGTGCACACAGGCGAAGCTGATATTTACAATCTTTTTACCAGATGCACATTGATGCCTGGCTGGTGGTGAAACGCGAAATCCTAATCCTAAAACATTTAAGTCAATGTCGGAGTCAGCACCGGAGGTCCCGAACTGATCGTCAGCATTAAAATGGGTATGAGAAAGAGCCACGAGCAAAGCAGCAGTAGAAGATTAGTTCTTCTTCCACGACTTGCAACGGAGCTGCCTGACAGAACGCTGCAGGCGGACAGCGCAACCATCGAGATGGCAAGCAGCGCCGTACTTGCCTAAATAAACCCACGATCCGTGGAACACCAATGTTCTAATTATAAGGAATCCTTAACGTTTTGGGACGACGCTTGTAGACAACTCCTGGAACGGCAAGTACCATCAGGTAAGCTTCTAAGACAATGCTTAGACCCTGCAGGCCTTACTATGTAGGATAAGGTGACTGGAGGCAAATTATACAGTTATACTGATACTTTACCCTGAATCACTGAAGCTTGTAGGCGCACGTATCCTAGTATAACTTCTGAATCAACAGGAACATATAAGGAATACTGAATACTAGTAATAATTGCTGCTTCCGGACCCTATGTCAGGCCCAATTAGTGCTTCTTCCGGACCCTATGTTAGGCCGCAAAGTGCTCATGAACCTCGGCTTCGGAGCTCTCAGCAAGGACCGCAGCGGGTGCGCGTTGACCTGACATGCTTGGAGGCACAGTCAATTATAGGGTCCGGCATTTTCTGGGTTTAGGGTTTACCCGAAACCCTAAACCCTGTAGGGTATGAAACTGTTTGAAGCATCACAAGTCACAATGCATCCTAAACCCTAACCCCCCAGGTACCTACTATATAGGGCCCTAGGGGCTCTAGTACCCTATATAGTAGGTACCTGGGGGGTTAGGGGGTCCTAAACCCCAAACCCTAAACCCTAAACCCTAAAGCTTCCGGGATGGGTCGAGGCCTTCCGGGCAGAAGCTGGCTGGTCCAGCCCTTCGCGGGTGCCGACCTGGGTCGAGAGTTTTGGGGTATATAATACTAGAATCATAATAAGAATAGGGTTTTGGGGTATATTATACTATAATCATAATAAACCCCAAGATGGTGTAGGTAATAATTTAGGCCCCTATAGTAGTCAGGGTTTAGGGCTTAGGGTTTCCTGATGCACTGCTTGCTGCTTCTACTGCTAACACTACTTGATGCTGCTTTGTACGATTACAGCTACAGCTACTACTTTTGTTCTTGCTACTGCTACTACTACGACTACTACGGTTGATAACATAAACCCTGCATTACCCATGATAAGGAATATACCGCAATTACCCTAGTTTCGGGTCCTTAAGGTCACTCAGAATTTATATCATGAACAGTACAACGACGACTGCTACAAACTACTACTGAGTAATTATTGCTTCTGCACCGACGACTACGGCGGCTACGACTACTACGGCTGCGGCTGCTGCCACCACTGCTACGATCACCACTGAACGTTTCGGCCACTGCTACTACGACTAGTCTGACTGCGACGACGACAACCGTTGTAGAAACAGCTACTACTACTGCCACCACCAGCACTCCTACTTCACTACCGCAAGTGCTACTACTATCAATACAGCAGCGTTCAGGATTGGGGGGTTTGATGTCCAGTTCCAGTCAGTGTGTCAGTGTGTGTGTGTGTGCGCGCGTGCGCGCGTGTGTGTGTGTGTGTGTGTGTGTGTGCGTGTGTATGTGTGTGGGTGTGTGTGTGTGTGTGTGTGTGTTCATGCTTGCGTGCGTGTGTGCGTGCACGCATGTGTGACATTTCCCTCCGTACCATGGACCCCCACCCCGTGGTTTGAAAGTCTTTCAAAACTCCGTGACACCAGCGTCCAAACTAGTTCACCACAGAAGTGTTGCAGGCTTCGACGGGTTCAAAAGCCTATTTCTGCGCGGGCGCGAAGATTCTGCTGAACTGGGGCCCATCTTCGGGTTCAGTCTCATGGTACACTCTTATTACCGCAGTTACAAAAACTCAACTGGTGCTCCTACCCGACTACAGCGTCAGTTTTCAAGGCTGGAACAAGTATTGTCATACGGTTGCTTTTTTCAATGGTTTCTTCAGATAGAGCACCTCGAATTTTCTGAAATCCGCCAGAACGTTTGCAAGGCCTTCTAAACACCTCTATAATTATGGAACTCTTAAAACAACACTCTAGAACAAAGTACGGCCATGAGAAAGCCCTTATAATGAAGTGCAGTACGAAGCGCTGAAGCTTTGCTGCATAAGAAACACACCATATTTACACGAACCAGAAAAGGGAAACCAACTTTAGCTAATCCTCGAACCCTGAACCTTACAACCTATTCTGAAACCTACACCCCAAACCCTACACCCTAAACCCTAAACCTCTAAAACCTAAACCCTAAACCCTAGAACCCTAAACCCTAAACACACCCTAAACCCCTAAACCCTAAACCCTAAACTCTAAAACCCTAAACACACCCTAAACCCCTAAACCCTAAACCCTAAAATCCTAAACCCTAAAACCCTAAACACACCCTAAACCCCTACACCCTAAACCCTAAACCCTAACTTTCCCAGGCCGCCCCTGCCAGGGCCCTGGCGCCCCGAGCTTCTGCACGGCGAGGACCACGCACGTGACCAAAGCCATGTCGACTCCCTACGGCATCTGGTAGGGTTTAGGGTTTAGGGTTTAGGGTTTAGGGTTTAGGGTTTACTAGAGAGGGGCAGGGGTAATGTAGGGGCCTGAATAATTAGAATAGGGTTTTGGGGGGTTCCCTATTATAATTATAGTATATTATACCCCCAAACCCTATTCTAATTATTATAAAGGCCCCTATGTTATATGAGATCTGTGATAATTATTTCAGGAGCTCCAAACCCCAGCTCTCTAAACCCCCCAGCTTCAACCAAAACACCCTAAAACCCCCAAACCCCAAAACCCTAAAGCCCTCAACCCCAAAACCCTAAAGCCCCAAAACCACCAAACCCAAAACCCTAAAGCCGCAAACCCAAAACCCTAAAGCCCCAAACCCCAAAACCCTAAAGCCCCCAAACCCCAAACCCTAAAAGCCCCAACCCCAAAACTCTAAAGCCCCCAAACCCCAAACCCTAAAGCCGCAAACCAAACCCTAAAGCCCCCAAACCGCAAAACCCTAAAAGCCCCAACCCCAAAACTCTAAAGCCCCCAAACCCCAAAACCCTAAAGCCGCAAACCCGAAACCCTAAAGCCCCCAAACCCCAAAACCCTAAAGCCGCAAACCCAAAACCCTAAAGCCCCCAAACCCCAAAACCCTAAAGCCCCCAAACCCCAAAACCCTAAAGCCCCAAACCCAAAACCCTAAAGCCCCCAAACCCCAAACCCTAAAGCCCCCAAAACCCCAAAACCCTAAGCCCAAAACCCTGAAGCCCCAAACCCGAAAGCCCCAAACCCCAAAACCCCCCAAACCCCGAAACCCCTAAAGCCCCATACCTCCGGCCTGCTTCACCCAGAGTGCCGAAGAATTCGGCGCCATGACGCCGGGTGCCACGGCTGCCTCGGCAGCTCTGGGGATATTTTTGTTGGTGCTTTAGGGTTTAGGGTTTTAGGGTTTAGGGTTTAGGGTTTAGGGTTTAGGGTGTTAGGGTTTTAGGGTTTAGGGTTTGGGGTAGGACCTGAAGCTTTAGTGGAGCTTCCGGCTTTCTTTGTAGGCTTTAAGGCTTGAGGGGCCTCGGCTTTAGGGGTTTAGGGCTTTAGGGTTTAGGGTTTTCCGGCACAGCGATAGGTCAGACGGCTTCAGAACTTTCTCTGCTTGTTGTGAGTTGTGCTTGGGATTGAGGGGATGTTGCCTAACTCAACACTGTTTCGTGCAGACACACACACACACACCCATACACACTCTCCCCCTCTCTCTCTCTCTATGTCTCGCTTCCTTGCAATGGTCCATATACTGTTAGACGCCATTATATACCATCAGCCTAGGTATATACATTGCACTCCAGCATTTGGCAGCGCAGCTGATAACAGACTGCGCCGTGACGTAGGGCAAACGCGAGCTGCAACCCATACAGATATTGCAATACCAGCACTCCAACCCAGAGTGCTACTGCTGATGGACTAAATTCTGCATGACCCAAATATAGTATAGTACCAAAAGTCCCATCGTTTAGGTATATAAGGTCATGCAGGATTTTGTCCATCAACCGTATCACTCCTCGACCAGTGAACCAAAATCCTGGACCCTAACTGCTCTACAGCCTGAAAACATAAGACCCAAAACCCCGAAAACCTCAAACCCCAAAGCCCTAAACCTTCGGAAACTTAAACCCTAATATAGGGGCCGTAACAATCAAAATAGGGTTTTGGGGGACATTATACTATACTTATAACAATGAACACCCCAAAAACAGTATAGGTAATTATTTAG